AGGTTTAAGATTTAATTTTCGTGTCCTTTAATTTGTCGACAGAGGATCACATTTTTACATCGTGTTGCTTTCAGTTCAGTTTTGATTTTCACAAGATCCGTTTTTATTTTCTTTCAGTTGTGCTAATTCAGTCCGAATTTCTTTTGTTTTGTGAAAAAAAAAAAAAAACAACAGGAACTAAGGATAAGTAACTGGTAGTGGTTCAAGTATGGCATCCAGATCATTTAAGGCGAGCAGATCGAATCTATCATCAAACTCTGATATGCCTGATGCACATAACAAGCCTCCAGTGCCTCCGACTGTGACATTTGGCCGGAGAACTTCCTCTGGTCGCTACATCAGCTACTCAAGGGATGATCTTGATAGTGAACTGGGGAGTGGTGACTTTATGAACTATACAGTTCACATACCACCAACCCCAGATAACCAACCCATGGATCCATCCATCTCACAGAAGGTTGAAGAGCAATATGTGTCGAATTCGCTTTTTACAGGCGGGTTTAATAGTGTTACGCGAGCTCATCTTATGGATAAGGTGATCGAATCTGAAGCAAACCATCCTCAGATGGCTGGTGCTAAAGGGTCATCATGTGCAATTCCTGGATGTGATGCAAAGGTGATGAGTGATGAACGTGGAGTGGATATTCTTCCTTGTGAGTGTGATTTCAAAATATGTCGGGATTGCTATACAGATTCCGTGAAAACAGGGGGTGGTATTTGCCCTGGATGCAAGGAAACATACAAAAACACAGATTTGGATGAAATGGCTGTGGATAATGCACGGCCACCGCTCCCACTTCCTCTTCCAAACGGGATGTCTAAAAATGAGAGGAGGTTGTCATTGATGAAGTCAACAAAGTCAGTGCTGATGAGGAGTCAAACTGGGGATTTTGATCACAACCGGTGGCTCTTTGAAACAAAGGGAACTTATGGGTATGGAAATGCCATATGGCCCAAGGAGGGAGGTTTTGGACATGGGAAAGATGATGAAGTCGTTGAACCAACTGAGTTGATGAACAAACCATGGAGGCCACTCACACGGAAATTAAAGATACCTGCAGCTATTCTAAGCCCGTATAGGTACATTTCTTGCCTTACTTTTATCCAGTCCTTGTATCCCCTAAGGTAAACTATGTTATGATGGCAATCTCATTTGCAAATTGATAGCTTTATATTTTCAAAACATCACCATTCCACATCTTTATTTCATTCAGATGCATTTCTAAATTAAGCGGTAAGAAGATCCACATATACATATACACACAGTCATATGCTGTGTGCTCAGCGGTTGATTTTGAGATTGGAGAATGCATTGGACCTATTTGTCGCCACACCAAATTTAACTGTCTACAATGAGCTACATCTTTATGTTATCCTGCTGATAGATAGATCTGCGAGATTATAAATAAGCTACGAATACTTGGTGCATTCCTTTTGAGGTCATTCTTCATTGTCCTGAAAATAATTGCTTTTTACTCTCTGTTGCTTATGTGTTCACAGGCTTCTAATATTTATTCGTATGGTTGTCCTTGCGCTGTTCTTGGCATGGAGGGTCAACCACCCAAATAATGATGCAATCTGGCTTTGGGGAATGTCAGTAGTTTGTGAGATCTGGTTTGCTTTTTCTTGGCTGCTTGACCAACTGCCCAAGTTATGCCCAGTCAATCGTTCTACAGATCTTAATGTCTTGAAGGAGAAGTTTGAAACACCTAGTCCCAACAACCCCACTGGGAAATCTGATCTTCCAGGCATAGATATCTTTGTCTCCACTGCAGATCCAGATAAAGAACCACCTCTTGTCACTGCAAACACTATCTTATCTATTCTGGCTACTGATTATCCTGTTGAAAAGCTAGCTTGCTATGTTTCTGACGATGGAGGTGCACTTTTAACTTTTGAGGCCATGGCAGAAGCTGCTAGTTTTGCTAATATATGGGTACCCTTCTGCCGTAAACATAGGATTGAGCCCAGGAATCCTGAATCTTATTTCAATTTGAAGAGGGATCCATACAAGAACAAAGTGCTGCCTGACTTTGTCAAGGATCGTCGAAGGGTAAAACGTGAATATGATGAGTTCAAGGTTCGGATTAATGGACTGCCTGACTCTATACGCCGACGGTCAGATGCGTATCATGCTCGGGAAGAAATCAAGGCCATGAAGCTTCAAAGAGAGAACAGAGAGGATGAACCTGTGGAGAGTGTGAAGGTTCCCAAAGCAACATGGATGGCTGATGGAACCCACTGGCCAGGGACTTGGTTGAGTGCTTCACCTGAGCATTCTAAGAGTGACCATGCTGGTATTATACAGGTATTCCTCTAGTTCTGGTAAACTATATTATTTTGCTGTCTAACTGCAGAGGGATTGTTCTTACATATTTTGCATGTATAACTTAACAAAAAAAAAAGTTAGGGCTGAACATTTATTCACCCTGTTGACGCAGGTGATGTTAAAACCTCCCAGTGATGAACCGCTGCATGGAGCTGATGATGATGCTAGGCTCATCGACCTCACTGACGTTGATATCCGCCTTCCCATGCTTGTTTATGTGTCGCGTGAGAAACGCCCAGGCTATGATCACAACAAGAAGGCCGGAGCCATGAATGCCCTCGTTCGAGCCTCTGCCATAATGTCCAATGGCCCGTTCATTCTCAACCTTGACTGTGACCATTATATTTACAACTCTCAGGCAATGAGGGAAGGCATGTGCTTCATGATGGATCGTGGAGGTGACCGCCTTTGTTATGTCCAGTTTCCTCAGAGATTTGAGGGTATTGATCCTTCAGATCGATATGCCAATCACAACACTGTTTTCTTTGATGTCAATATGCGAGCTCTTGATGGGCTTCAGGGCCCAGTTTATGTTGGAACTGGATGTCTCTTTCGGAGAATTTCCCTTTATGGTTTCGACCCACCTCGGTCAAAAGAACATCACCCAGGTTGTTGCAGTTGCTGCTTTTCTCGTCGCAGAAAGCATTCCTCGGTAGCCAACACCCCTGAAGAAAACCGAGCCTTAAGAATGGGTGATTCTGATGATGAAGAGATGAATCTCTCCCTGCTGCCTAAGAGGTTTGGGAACTCAAGTTTCCTCATTGATTCGATTCCGGTGGCAGAGTTCCAAGGTCGTCCCCTTGCAGATCACCCAGCTGTGAAGAATGGACGCCCACCTGGTGCTCTGACCATTCCTCGTGAGCTTCTCGATGCATCTACTGTTGCAGAGGCGATCAGTGTCATTTCCTGCTGGTATGAAGACAAGACTGAGTGGGGACAGCGTGTAGGGTGGATTTACGGATCAGTTACTGAAGATGTGGTCACTGGGTATAGGATGCATAACAGAGGATGGAAATCAGTTTACTGTGTGACCAAGCGAGATGCATTCCGTGGAACCGCCCCTATCAATCTTACTGATAGGTTGCATCAGGTTCTGCGCTGGGCTACTGGCTCAGTTGAGATATTCTTCTCTCGCAACAATGCCCTCCTAGCCAGCCCAAGAATGAAGCTTCTGCAAAGGATAGCATACCTCAATGTGGGTATTTACCCCTTTACCTCCATCTTCCTCATCGTCTACTGCTTCCTCCCGGCCCTTTCCCTCTTCTCTGGTCAGTTCATTGTCCAGAGCCTCAATGTTACATTCCTGACCTATCTGTTGACCATCACCCTCACTCTATGCATGCTTGCTGTGCTTGAGATTAAATGGTCTGGCATCGAGCTAGAAGAGTGGTGGAGAAACGAGCAGTTTTGGTTGATCGGAGGGACTAGTGCCCACCTTGCTGCTGTGCTTCAGGGGCTATTGAAAGTTATTGCAGGGATTGAAATCTCTTTCACCTTAACTTCAAAATCAGGTGGTGATGATGAGGATGATGAGTTTGCTGACCTCTATATTGTGAAATGGTCATCTCTGATGATCCCGCCAATAACAATCATGATGGTCAACTTAATTGCAATAGCAGTTGGGTTTAGCCGAACAATATACAGTGTGATACCGCAGTGGAGCCGGTTACTTGGCGGGGTTTTCTTCAGTTTCTGGGTTTTAGCTCATCTCTATCCTTTTGCCAAAGGGTTGATGGGGAGACGAGGGAGGACACCCACCATTGTTTTTGTATGGTCGGGGCTCATTGCGATTACCATCTCTCTTCTTTGGGTGGCAATCAATCCACCTTCTGGTACCAACCAAATTGGTGGATCATTCCAGTTCCCCTAATAAATAGGTCATTCTTTGCTGTTAATCTGTTCAGTTACATTCCTTTATTTGTTTCATACCTGAACAAGTTAAATCATGCTTTGTGATGGCACTAGCATGTTGTGCTTCTTGTTCCTATTTGAATTTTGTCCAGCAGTAATTAAGTAACTTGGAGCAATTTGAGTATGACTCTCTGTATTATGATGCCATGGGATGGGACCAGCAAAGGCATAGCCGCATAGGGATGTTGTAGGTTTCCCGGCATTTTTTTGATGCTTTAATGGAGAATTAATTTGAATGTTTCGCTTTGACTTGGAAGATTAGGATATTTTTTTATAAAAAAATTTATATTGTTTATGGTGCTCAGATTATTGATTATGATTTTATTTTTTACCCCTTTTGTGATGTCGATTGACTTGAAAGTTAGTATGAATTCTGTCAGTTTACTTCCATGCTGTCGCTCTCTCACGCAATGCAATATATAATTGTTGTTACCTATCAGGATTCGATTTATTACTTGCTTATACTTTATGCATGGGGAATAAAGTTAAGTCGTCGACATGAAATCCAAATATTTTCTTGTCTGGCTGACATAACTAGTAAATTTGGTTTTGGGGCGGCGGATAAAGTGATATTTCGAAATTTCTTGTTTTCCAAACACAAGGTTGACCAGTCGAGCTTCCGATCCGACACCACTTTTGTTTGAAACAACTTTGATCTGAATTCTGAACTGAACAAATTTTGCTGCTGGTTGGGCACCAATGAATATTTACAAGGTGCAGTGCAGTAGAAGAATAATTCAAGAAAAAACCTCGTAAGTCGTACCCACATGCAAACCGTATCCCTAAAGAACTCAGAAAACACAAATGGTGTGGAACTCAGTCGTTGAAGCAGCAGAGTTGCATGGTCCTGCTCTGCTCCTACTCCTCCTATAATATAAGATAAGACAGACATTGAATGAAACAGACACATCTCCCTCTCCTTGTCCTCATCGTCCTCACCCCTTTCATAATCAACCACCTGAAAGTCATGGCCACCTCCTTACTTCTGAATCTAAATCTGATCATGGCTGCAATAATAATACTCTGCAATATTTCGTCAGTTTCTTCTACAAATACAAATACTTCTCTTCCTCCACCTATAAGCCCTAGGAATCAAAACGAAGAGATTTGTGCTGCCATAGGAGAGATGCGAAGCAGCAACTACTTCACCTTTGTAATGCTGATGAACATGGTAGGCCCCTTTGATGAGAGACTAGAAAAGAACGTCACTTTCTTGATGCCCGACGATCAGATGCTATCAGAGGTGGTGTTGCCAGTGGCAGTGGCACATGAGGAGGGGGACGCTGTTATGGATTTCTTGCTTCGTCATTCGATCCCTTCACCATTGCTTTTCGAGTATTTGGAACATATCCCAACAGGTTCAACAATTCCCAGTTCAAAGCCAGGCTACATACTCACAGTCTCCAACAATGCCAGCAACAATGCAGGGAGGTATTTCTATCTCAACAATGTCAAAATTGTTAAACCAAATGTATGTGCTGCATCGGCCTCTTCTATTCGATGCCATGGCATAGATGGGGTTCTAGCACCACTAGCACCTCCTCCTCCTCCTTTACCACCACCTGATCAAGATGATGATTCTTGTTCTGATAAAGCTCCTCCAGCCTCCTCATCATCCGTTGATGATAATCCAAATACACCAGCTGCAGTGCCTGCCTCGCCCCAAACTGACCCCGCAAATTTAAAACCATCAGCTGCTGCCTCTTCTCTGTTTCTTTCGTCTCATGAACAAGGTCATTGTTTGAGGATGTCATTGACCAGCTGTGCTATATTGCTGTCCATTTTCATCTCTATGATCTAGCCCAAGTGTACTTCTTTGCTATAAAATTTGAAGATTTGGGTACTGCCTAGTACTATTAAGCGAAATATTTATACATACACTAAGGGTATATTGACCAACTAAATGACATTTCATGAATCAGTGCTTGTTGAAAAAGGTCAAATATACATTTTGGACACCTCCTTGATTAGAATAAACAAGTTACAAGTTGGGGTACTATCATAACAAGAGGGAGTAAATAAAGTTCCAAGAAGGGAGTGCTAAGGTAAAAAATGATGAATTGCCATTGGTAAATTCGTCCAAGCAGTAGCGAACACCAAACATAATACACACGAGGTAATTGGTATGGTACCTTTCCCGAAGCCAAAAGGACAGGGCAGAAGCGCATTTTCTATAATGGCTACAAATTCTCAATATGATCCCAAAATTTCTGATTGAATCACAGACAGCAATCTGCTCAATCAGTTGACAAATACATTACAAGGGCCAAAACATCCACCAATATTGATACAAGAATTGAAACCCTATTATAAGCTGGACCCCTTAACTTTCTTATTGACACCATCTTTTGATTTCTTTGATTTCCGTTTCTTCGAAACTGCTTTTTCTTTCAACCCTTGAGAGGTCTGCTTTTGCTCCTCATCTTCAGGTTCCTGTATTAACGTCCCATTCTCATCATCACCAACAGAGTGCATCAAAGACTTGTCATCCATTACTCTTGTGTCTGTCTCTGGTTCAATGACTGACATCCCAGTAAGAGTGTAGTTTACCAAAAATGTGCTTGTTACATGCCTGTCCATCCTGCTAAAATGCCTCTGGGAATATGACAAGAGACCTTCAAGGACTTCGTCAATGCCTTTTATCTGATAGGACCAAAAATCAATCAGTAAGGCTTTTTTCAGGCCAGAAAAAATTACCACCATTTTAATTTGTGTCCTAGGGTCAACACCAACACAAACATCCTAATCATGCATTTGACAACCAAAGAGATAAAGGGGGAGAGGGGGGGAGTGGTTTTAGTGAAACAAAGTTAACCAGATTGGATCTGACAAACCAATAAGTTTCATTAATGATTAACCAAAAACCATGATTATTCATCAAGGAACAAACAAGATCCTCTTCAAGCAGAAAACCATACAATGCCAGAGAGATCTAAAGCACAATACCCATTTGTAGGAATTAATGCCAGTACTAAGGGAGGCTTGTCAACACATGCAGTTGACAGATAACCAATCACTAAAATGTATCAACACCAACATTTAGTGAATATGACAATATCCTACAGAATGCTTTTCTTTGTAACCTTAAAAGACGACACAAACATAAGTAAAGAGAACTACCTCAGTAATCTCTATTGGATTAAGGATGCTGAAAACTTTAGAAAGCACAAAGTGTGCAACATGACAGAGCTTTGGCTTTGTATTCCATTCTCGAACATATTCAAATAATAGCTTGAGCTCTTCCTTGCCAAGGGTCTGAAGGGATTTCTCTATCTGCTTTTCATTTTTTCTCTTCCTGTGGACAACTTGTATGAGTTACATGTCAAAAGTTCAAGAGAGAACCAGTACAAGGAAAAGAAGAAAACATAAATAGAAAATAAAAGAAAATCATTCCTAACCTCCAAACTTGAGAAAAACACTCATAAAGCTTATGAGGCCTGCGAAGCTCGAAGGCGACTTGGATTGCTTTAGTAAAGTCAGCATCTAATACAGCATTTTCTAGTTCTTGATTCTTTAAAACACCTTCCTCCTGAATCATAATGAAAAATCCCATGTGTAAATAGATCTCTGTTTTTTAAAAGTGAATTTGACATAAAATTGTTCACATGTAATATCTTAAGATTTCACCTATCAATATAACAATAGATCTTGGAACCAAAGGTAACAATAGCCTGACTTATTAATGAAATTTGGTTAATGCCAGGCATCAATTATCTTGGATGAATTTGCTCTATTTTTAGATTTTAATATTTCGCATTCCATAAAACTGAATTACCTCTATGCACCCAAACAAGAAACCAAAAAAAAAAAAAAAACAGCAACTCACCTCTCTACGAAAAGCTTCCTCTTTATCAGAGGCAGTACAATCGTACCATAAATTGATGACAGCATCACTGCTGCCAGTTGCAAGCATTTCTGTGTTCTTTCCAACAGCCAAGGCATAAACCTGCAGATTAAATCTTTTCAGTAAATGACACGGAGAGTAAAAATCTACTTTGGTAGGGAAGATAGGAAAAAGTTAGCTTGGCCAGCCAGGTTAAGGCTGAAAAGCATTAAAACAGATTTCAAAGGCCAAAACCAAGATCAAGAGATCAGCCATGAGAGGATAGTTCCAGTACATCCAACAAATCATGAACCCAACATATTTATGTTGCCATAATTCAACCTACAGTTTGACGACTCCATGTTGATTATCACATGTTTTCAGGTATATTATCAAAACCTACATGTTGATGATCATAAACCCAACATATTTATGTTGCCATAATCTGAAGGTTCAACCTACATTTTGACAACTCCATGTTGATGATCACATGTTTTCAGGTATATTATCAAATCTCCTACAGAACTTTTGCTGTGTAACCCAAGGTCAATAAATCACAACATTCTATATAGGTTGCTCAACGACAGACGAGTAAATGATAGACAATAACAAACCTTCAGACTCCTCACTTCTAACTTTTAACATACATTATATTGACTAATAAATTGATATGTACATATTTCAGTACCTTGTTCTCATGCTGATCATATGTAGCAATGCATTCATCAGTTTTGACCATCCACAGCTTTAACAAACCATCAGCACCTGAAAATGATAATATAGTCAATGCATATATAGCCACACTTCCAAGAGGTGAGGACAACAAAAGTGTGAAGTGAGCCTCATTACCGCAAGAAACAAACTGGGTTCCACGAGTAAGGAATGATGCTCTTAATACACTTGTTGTATGCCCTTCAAATGTTTTCAAGCATGAACCGTCAGATATGGTCCATATCTTTATTGTTTTGTCACCAGAAGCTGTTATAACACATTGATCAACTGGAGAAAATTCTACAGACCAAACGCCCCTTTTATGACCCTTAAGTACAACTACTGGTACAAGATCTGGAAGCCTCCAGACACAAGCAGTGCGATCCTGATCAATGAGGAGAACCCAGAAAGTTAAGTAAGGCAGTGCCATAGTTTCACTAAGGTAATATGATAAATATAAAAGAATTAAAGAAGCGGTGCCTTCAAAAACTACAAACCTGTGAACCACTACAAACTAAACTATCATTAGGTGCAACAGCTACTGAATTGATATCCTTATCATGGGCTGCTACACCAGCCTTTGCTTTCAAATTTATAGGCTTTTTCCCATTGTTTGGAAGACCATCCAAAGTCCACACCTTGAGGGTACGATCGCTAGACAAAAACATAATATAGGTTATACAAAGACTAAACAGTTCCTTAACACCTTAATCAGCTAAATAGAGCTCGATAGAGGGATCCTCCTTGAAGTCACAACCCAAGTAATCATTTAACTATTGAAAGCATCACCAGTATAGGTTGCAATTGTAAACAAAATATAAGACAGAATTTGGTAAATGGATGGCCTGCAAAGGGCTCACCTACTACCACTAACGAAAAAGTCTTTACGCTTTTTTGAGAAAGCAATAGCTCCAATACTTCCCATGTGACCTATGCCAAGACCAAGGCAACATCTACTTTCTGATTCCCACAACCGAACCTACAGAGGATAGAGTCAGAAATGACAACATATATCATCTATAAACACACAGGCCACATGCAGACACAGGGAGACACAACAGACAGATTTTTAGCCTAATATAGTTCTTGCAATCTACACTAATCGAGGAGATCAAGTTTCTACCAGCACCGAAGAGGGAGAAAAACAAGCCCACAACTGCCTTATGGCAGACAGAGGAACAGAAACTTACAGTGTTGTCCTTGCTTCCGGTCACTATAAGCGTTCTTCCACAACTTGATACGCAGGTGTCAAGACATAGAACAATTCCGGTATGACCTGCCAGCACATAAGAACACGACATGGATGCGACATCATATACTCGTACCTGCATGTTTCCAGGTTAAACAACATTTCAATAACCAAACCATATAACAGACATCATATTACTTTAATCACATGAAGGCTTGAAGGATGCACTAGCCTACATGGTATCATGACCCAATCAAGCTGTATTCGCCCAACTTAAATAGATGGTACCAGGATTACCACAGATATGTATATTTGTAAACAATGAAAATTTTCAATTATTAATGACACTTCCAAATAAAAGACAACTGACGCTGAACAGATGGATTTTCAGCTAAATAAACACTCTAAAACCAATAATGTGTATGTGTGCAATGTCAAACCTTGTATTTTAGTAAAACCAGATTCAGATTCACAAGTTTTGAATCCCCATCAGTGAAGCAAGGATTTTCACGAACATACGTTGATGCATGGTACAAGAATGAAAATGGTGCATAGGAAGCAATGAAAGGTTAACAAGCAATGAAAAGTTAAAATGTGATATTTTCATTTGAGGAGAGAATTGATCTTCTCAGAGTTTTATAGCATGTAAATATTTAGTTGAACCAACCAATTCTACTTGCAAGCCATCCATATGATTAATCTAAGGTAGATAGGAATCTAGTAATTACCTGTTCAATATTTGTGGCAACAGCAAGAAATTGTTCCTCATCACCTAAAAACTTCATATCCACAATCTCATCATTGTATCCTACAAGTCTTTTGCTTAGGGCAAATTCCAACGTCCCTTCAGGAACCTTAACTGGGGAATATAAAAGGAACTCCTGATCGGCAGTCACACAAAGCAGCCCTTTATCTGATGGTAGCATGACAGCGGCAGTGAAACCCCTTTTCGATTCATCCCCATCCGAGGAGGGAGTAACATCTGAGGACTTTTGCTCAAAAAGGCAAACTGCACTGTCAAAATAAATAAAGTAACAGTAAACGAACTCACCAAAATACAAGCCATTGATTCCAAGGGACTCACAATCATTTAACGCATAACTAACAATTCT